CCATAAATGTAAGAAACACTAAAGTGTATGCTTTTTAAACCACAACATACAAAAAAAGATCATACCACACACCTAATTCCTAAAGACAGTAACTATCATTTTTTATAATTATATATCCTTCCCTTGTAAATATCAATTATTTAATCAACTCTTAAAAATCTAAATATTCATACAATGACTCCCTCTCATTGTATTTTTAAATGGTGTGAGTGTATACAAATGAGACATCTCTAAGCCTAGACTTTAAAATAAAAACTCCTAGGGTTATATCTTTAAAAAAAAACATATTTGACCCAGGATACTACACCATCCAAATCTGATGTTTATAGACAACTGTTCAATGAAAATCCACATTCAAAAATCCTGGCACTAAGACACTATAAAATTGAATCAAAGAGAGAAAAAATTATATTCTACCAGGAAAGCAAAGAAATACATCAATGTTCATGTTTCAGTTAATTTTGTTCTCAAAGGAGAATTTTACCAAGAAAGTCTTCAGTAAATTGACTCAATAAAAACTTTAAAATAATACTTAACCTTCAAATAAAAAATTAAAAAAACTTAAAAACCAAAATTTTGAGACATTTATCTCCGTCTTACCTGGCTTATATCGTAGTTCTGTATCTAAGACCCCAGAAAGCACTTCCTCTATCTTCTGCACTATTTCTTCATTTGGTAGGCTCCTGGCAGAGGCACCTGCATCACCTGCCTGGTTTCCTTCAATAGGTGTATTTGTTTCACCATTCAGCTGGCCTTCACTCCTTCCACTTGACAAGAAAAGTTTTTCAAAATTCATTAACATTTTATCACACCACATGATAAATCAATAAGTTAATATTGATGTTCCAATTAATATGATCTCTATATTATATTATCCACACCTTTCACCCTTTTCCTATTTCAGATATTTGCCACTAGGCATCCTTAATACGATATACTCATAGCTGGGATATTTTCATTTTTACACAAAGTGTTCAGCACTGAAAGTTAAGAAAATATATATACAAAATCATATTTCTAAGCAAAACCTTTTTTAAATGAAATAATTCCAGAAATATAACTTGAGGTTTTGGGTTACCTATATACTTCTCTCCAGGGAGAAATATTAGTAAGAGCTTAAATAAGATGATCTAACATTATGGTAGAAACTATGGCCACAATAAAACCACACCTGTGCACAGGTCACAATTACAATAAACAGTATCAAGGAACACAGAAGTTAGCCACTGAAACATTGAGTAAAAAAAGTAATTTGTAGCCTCTGTTCAGATTTAAGGCTGTTACTGAAATGCCATAAAATTTATAGAGAAAAATATTTATATAATTTATACCTAATTATCAAAAATCCTGGTATTAAAAAATTTCTGATGTTCAAAAAAATTCACATTAAACAAGTGGTAACTCATTTATACTAACAAAATGATAGATGGCTTAACATACTTTCAACTCAAAGAGTCAGAAGAACTTAAGTATAGATAAAACATTTCACCTTGTAATCATTTTTGTTTTTGTGTAAATGTGCAAAATTTTGAAATCTAATAATTTCAATATTAATTTTACATTAATTTTAGCTAACTGAAAACACATAAAAGTCTAGTCAAAATAAATTCAGTAATTAACTAAATGTTAAGGAACATTTGATTTTCGAATATAATGAACCATGTAATAATACTAAACATTTGTTGAGTACTAAGTAGTGTCATGTCATGTTCTACATTTTCAACTCATTTAGTCCTACTAAAACTCAAATCACCACTATTACTCTGATTTTATAAATGAGGGAAATGGGGCAGAGAGAAGACAAGAAACTAAACTGAAGATCATATAGCTATTAAAAAGTGAAGCAAGTATTCAAAACCAGAGCCCATACTCTCGAACACTTCTATATACACTGGATCACTTACTCGAACTATCTAAACATCACTTTATGACCCAGATGCATGTAAAAGTAGATGGGGAAAACAGAAAAAACAGTTCACTGAAATGGTTAATAAAAAACCTGTCTTTGGATTGGGGCTGTAGTTCAGTGGTAAATCACTTGCCTTGCATGTGTGAGGCACTGGGTTCGAACCTCAGCACCACATAAAAATAAAGATACTGTGTGTTCATCTACAACTAAAAAAATTTTTTAAAAATCTTGTCTTTACACCAATAATACATTAATTTGTGTTAAAGAGCTGAATATTTCCCTAGTGATAATCTGCTTTATCTAATATTCCTTTCAGATTGCCTTTATGAAGCACTATTTTACACTTTTCCTGAGCACTTATACATACATAATTACCATATATTTAAAAGTCAGAAAACTACGATTTTAAAAAGTCTGCTCAGAAAGCAATCTTAAACACCTTAAAAGCTGCCAGGATATTAATTGCAACTACTGAAAAGCAATGAGAATTTCAAACCACTTAAATATCCTTCAATATATTCCTTCAAAGTAATTCTATGCAGCCATGAAGAGTAACCCAAATTTTGAGTCTGTTATGGACAAACTACTTGGCACTATCAGGTTGAAAAATAAAATAGAACAATTACATTAACAAAACGCATGTTAATCTGTATACACAAGCAAAAACTAAAGGATATAACATCAATAAGAGCAGTGTTTGGTTTTTTTCTCCTTTTATAGTTTCTAGATTTTTTTTACAGCAAAAGAAATGCTCATTTTTCTAACAGAAAGACTTACTTTTAAAAGCTTTAAAACAAAGCAAACACAATTACTGATGTCATACAACTATTTAAAAGTTTCCAAGACAATTATTTTCCCTTAGCTCAAGTCTCTTCTCATCCTAAAAAGCACTACCAATATCACAAAACGTTCAAAAGCAAGTTAAAGAGAGATATATTTCCCACTTAAAAAACAACACATTCTGCAAAAAGGTGTTGCAGTAATACATCATTACCTCCAATAATGTTCATTTAGATACCTAATTAAATTGCGTTTCCGACTATTTTCAAATTCACATATTGTTCTTGCTCTAAACTTTTAAAATACGATTAGCAAAAACAGTGTAACTCAGAACAAGTAAATTACTTTTCAAGATCTCTTTCCAACCTCCTTTTGAGTATTTCATACAAAACAAAAAATACTAAAAGACAACCACTTAACAGCAAGAGCCACACTATTTTCCTTTCTCGGTAAACAACTACTCTGGAGATCTCTCCATCTTTAAATTTCGTGAAACCAAAGTGACCTATGTAAAGTCTATCAGAAATAGTAAAACTAGCGTGCTGATCAATATGTCAACTAAGGCAGGGGTAGCAAGAAAAAAAAAATTGGTCTAGACACAAAATCCACTTTCCAATTGTCAAAATCTAGTAATCATCGGTATTTCCAAGACCCAGTCCATCCTCTTCTCGAATATTTCACAAGTTGGCCAATATCAATTTGCGGTATTTTCACTTAAATCTCTAATCTGTTAGAATGCTGCCTGGTGGAAAACACAGAATACTGGGCCCGAAAAGCAGAATTAATGGCTCCCGGCCCCCAAACGGTGTGAAGCCGGCAATAATAGAGCGGATTTAAGATTACCCAAGAAACGGCCGTTAGAGACCCTTTCCGGTCACAGACACCGGCCGGCGAAATCCGCGGAGGCGGAGAGGGGGAGGGGAGAGGCGGCGGCGGAGGAGGGGCTGAGGAAGGACTAGGCCCGTCCCTGGTGGACAAGTAGGCCTACCAGTCGCTAAAGGGTAAGGGGCGAGCAAGCGGCAGAGAAGGGTGAGCGTCTAAACTCTGTAAAAAAGGAGGAGTCTGAAATTACCACCGAAAAGGCGAAGTTTCTCGGGGAAAAGGGAACGAGCGGATGGAGGGTTGGGGGGGAGGGCCCGGAAAATGGATCCCAGGCCCAGGCGGGGCCGTAGCGGGGCCTGAGCCGAGGAACGACGGCGTCTCTGAAGAAAGGTACCATGGAAGCCTAAGGCGGGGGGCCTAGCAGCCCTTTGGGAGCAGAAAAGTCAGGGAGGTATTTACCTGGAAAGTTCCTGTTGGATTTCCCGGAATTTACTGACCACGAAAGACCTAAAAACCTGCTCGATGTCGGCCGCCATGGCGTCCGCTCCGTTCTCTCAACTCCTCCTCGCTAGTCCTCCAGGCTCCCAGCATGCCTCGGGAGGAGGCGCAGCGGCCAATTCCTTCTCTCGCCTTCCTGATTGGTTCGTGTGGGAGCGCCCAGACCGGCACGCTCCGCCAACGGACCAATCACTGGGCACGATCCCGCTCTCCTCCTCTGTTTCCGAGCGGCTGGGGGAGAGCTGCTGACGTTTGCGCCGCGCACGACTAAGTCCGCCATATTAGTATCTGACGCAGGCGCCATTACAGAAGTCTCTCTAGAGATCCCTGTCAGCTTCTGTTGTCGGCCCCCCAACAGTTTTGAGGGGCTTTAGGAGATTTGCTGTCGCGTCTGAATGTCTGAGATGAAATTCCATGAGGAACGAGGGCAAAAAAAAAAAAAAGCAACATGGTGCTTGTACTAGAGCTCCTAGTGTTTGCTAGTGGCGCCGACTTGAGTTTAGTCAGGGAGATGCAAACGGGAAGGAACTAGAGCCCGGGTTCCTCCTGTGCTGTGAACACGATTAACGTTTCTATCCCGGCTCTCTCCCCCCGCCTCCGATATTCGGATAATTTTTTTAGCAACAGGCTAGAGGTCCTGCGCTCAAAAGCCTAGTGCATTCTGGGCTCCTAGGAGCCGAGCAGGTCATGAGACTGTCCCCGCAGTAGCTGGTCAGCTCTGACTTTCGCGAACTGCCCACAAGGAGCCAAACGTGGCTTCGGCGTCTGGGCGCTCCCACAGAGCTCAGGAGGCTCCCGGGGAGGAATGGAGAAGTTACGTGGCAACCCCCACTACAGTGACCCACTGTAAACATGCTTTGGTCAGGCTGTGGTCCCAAGCAGGCTCAAGCCGCGCCCGAGCGGGAAGGAACCCCACTGATTGCCTGGACCAGGGACCCAGGCCAGGCGACCAATGGGGAGGGAGGCGGGTGAGGGGCGGGCGCGGGGAGCCCGGGGCCACTTCCGGCGAGCAGCGAGTGCGAGCGGCTTGGCCGTGGATATAGGTGCGTAAGCTCCCTCGGCTTTTAGACCACGTTTATGCTTTGGCTGGGCATTTACTTTCAGGAACTGAGTGGAATTGTAGAAACACGCTTGGCTGTAGAAATTTTCGTCTTGTTTTGAAATACGGTGGCTGGGGACTTGGCCATGTGCTTTGCATTGTTAATGGAGGTTTACACGTGAGCTATCACTTTCCTTGCGAATAGGGCCAGGCCTGTTTGTGTCTTTATGCTTTTTTCAGGCCATAACCCAAAATTGATATACTATACTCATCACTTGTCTCGTTGTGCGTCCGTTGTCACTAGCTGATTTGATCCACTTGTGTTTGTACGTTATTCCCCAAATTCTTTGAAGTGGCCTTCTCTGGCTCTCTGCTGTTCTCGTTGTAGGTTACCCATTCTAATCACTGAGGCCCAAGGTTAAGTCCCTCAAGGTTTCCCAGCTAGTAAAGAGTGAGGAAAAGCGACTTCTGGAGCCCAAGCTTCTTGCCTAATCCTGATGTACCTTTCAGGCTGGCTAGCACTGCTGTTTCATAGATTCTGTATGTAAAGTAAGAAGGAAATTTTTCTTAAACTGCCAGTTTTATTCAAACAAATATGTGATATTTTCTGTAGATTTAAAGATATGTTTCTTTCAGATATTTCAATGCACATAACACATAAAATGTCTATATTTGGTTGAATTAAAATAGCTTTTCCTTCTGAGACTAATTTAGCAGGGGTTTTCCCCATAAGTTTATAATGCTAATCATGTCAATTGTTGTCTGAAAAGTATCTAAAGAAAATGGCTTCATTTGGAATCCAGAATCTGCACCATCTTAGCTGTGTAACCTCCAGCAATTTATATAATCTAACTGGGCTTCCATCTTTTTCAGTAAAGTAGCAATAATAGTAGTATCTACCTCATCTTATGCAGATCAAGTGAGGTAATTCTTGAAAAGTTTAGAATGGCACCTGGCATGAGGTAAGTGCTTTAAAAAAATAGCTTTTTAATATTAAAGGCTTAAATTTTCCTTTATGTATGTAGTTTTAGCATCTTACAGGAAGTTATCAATTTCAGTTTCTTTATCCTGGTACCATCATGCCTTCTACATAGTTAGATGTCTTTTGAAAATTAGTAAATTAATGTGGCAAATTATTTATTCTTTTGTGAAGTTTTTTCCTTTGTTTTTTGTTCTGGGAATTGAACCCAGGGCTTCTGCTGAATACTGTACTACTAAGCCATACCCCCAGCCACTTTTTTTTCCTCCTAGTGTAATGATTTGATAAATTGTTTCTATTCCAAAATATGAATGTGGGTGAAAGAAGTAATTGTAACAAGTTTGCATTTACAACCCCTAAGTTCTATAAGTAGTATTAATATTTTATAAATGTCATTTCAATTAATCTTTACACAACCAAGGTCACACAAATACCAAAACTAAGAGGTGTTTAAATTGATTTTTGCCTTCTCTACCAGATTTCAAACATAGCATACAAACTTCCTAAATCAGAAGTCAGCAAACTACAACTCCCTCCTGCCAAACCCCTCTGCTGCCTGCTTGCTTGCTTTTTTGCATTTTTTTTTTTTCCTGTATTGGCAGTTGAACCCAGGCGTACTTTGCCACTGACCTACATCCCCAGCTCTTTTTTGACCTGGTTTACCTATGTTGCTTAGGGCCTAACTTGGTAAGGCTGCCTAGAACTTAGTGATCCTCCTGCCTCAGCCTCCCAAGTCACTGGGATTACAGGTGTGCGCCACTGCACCTAACTCCTACCTGTTTTTCTGCTGGCTATTTTTCAGCCCACCAAATAAGAATGGTTTGGGGATGGTGGATAATGTTTTTATCACATGTGATAAAAATTATATTGTTTGTACATAAAAATTTTATTGTTTTATTTATTTTGTTACAAACTTTCAGGTGGTTTCCTACTGCCTAGAGCCCTCGTAGGCAAATAATACCTGCCTGTTTTATAAAGTTAAGTTTTTCTGGATATTGGCATGTTCACCTTTCAGTGTATTGTCTATATCTCGTCTCTTGTCACCATAGATAGTTGGTAGTTTGGACACAGCACATACCCCTCAAATATTTACTATCTGGTCCTTTACAGATGAAATTTGCTGACCCCAGTCTTTAATATTTCTTTCAATTTGTGATAACTTTATCATAAAGTTGTCTATACAGTCTCAACGTTTAGAAACAGATTTTAAATTTGGGGTCTAAATTTAAGTGTCAGCGTGGATGCCTGTAGTCCCAGTTTCTTGGAAGGATGGTGCAGGAGGATCACTTGAGCCTAAAAGTACGGGGCTGCCTAGGCAACATAGTAAGACTCCAGTCTCTTAGTCAATCAAACAATCATTTTTTCTTATTAAGGCTTTGTCCTAAAATGAAGCTAGAGAAGAGAGATTGTAGGATATTGTTTCTCAGATAAGGAACTATATTACTATTTTCTGTTGCATATAATATTACAGACTGAATAAGTTATGAAGAAAAGAGTTTTATTAGCTCACAGTTCTGGAAGTGCAAGGTCAAAGGGCCCCATCTGATGATCAGCTTCTTGTTGGTAAAGTCCTTAAGTGGCACAGAGCATCAGTGTGGCAATAGCCAAACTGATACACATAAATATATGTGTGTATCTCCAGTCTGGCCCTCTTATAAAACCACCTAGGTTTAGAAAAGGTCGTTAGGGTGGGGTCTCCACCCCAATGATCTTTTCTAAACTTAATCACCTTCCAAAAACTCCACCTGTAACCATAGTTGGATTACATTTCCACTTTGCTAATAGCTCACAATGGGGATTAAATTTCAATACTTGAAACCTTGGGGAACACCTAAACCATAACAGAAGCCACATCACCATGACTTAATCTAGGTCTCTAAGCCGGTCTTCCTTATTTTTAGAATCCCCCCTTACCCTATGACTACGGTCATTTTTCTCAAATTATTAATGACAATTTTTTTTAAAAATGAATTAGTAGGTGAAAATATCATTTGAGTACAAATTATTTACTTGATTCATTTAGATAACGATTAAATAATATTTGTGGTATGTAAAGCATATGCATTCTAAAATGCATAAAATCATATGTAACTATGATTTTCTTGCTTCAGAGGTTCATTTTCCTTTGAATTCCTGCTTTACAGACAGCGATGGCAGCTCGAGTACTTGTCATTGGCAGTGGCGGAAGGGAACATGCGCTAGCCTGGAAGCTTGCACAGTCTCATCATGTCAAACAAGTGCTTATTGCCCCAGGAAATGCAGGCACTGCCTGCTCTGAAAAGATTTCAAATACTGGTAATTGTGTTACAAAAATGGGAAATAATAATTACTATCTGTTAATGATAAATTGTCAACCACCTCTGTCCTTTATAATACTAATGGTAGATTGCTATTCAAGTTTGAATGCTTTTCTTAACTTTAAAATTTATGTGGTAATTTGAATACCTGACATATATTATAAATGTAAGGTAGCCTTTTGTTCAGAATATGGCATTTCATGACCCAGCTATCCCACTCCTTGGTATTTTCCCAAAAGATCTAATAAAAAAAGAATATGGCATTTCATTATTTTAAATCTTAAGAAATATATCCATTGAAAAGGTAGCAAATGACAAATATAATTTAAAGTCTTTTTTTTTTTTTTAAGAGCTTTATAGTTATACATAGTAGTTGGGCTCCTCCATGCAAACTCATACATGCATGAGATTCAGTTTTAGTTCATGATCCCCTCCCCGTTTTCCTTCCTGTCCTCCCTCCCTCCCCGTTCTTCCTCCTCTACTCTACTAGACTTCCTTTCACCTATTTATTTTTTGTAGTTGATTGATTCCTTTTTATTTATGCATAAAAATGAAATTCCCTGTGATATATTTACATATGCACTTGATGTGATATTTTTTTCTTTTTAAGAATTCACTCTGCATTGCCTCTCCTTTCCCATCCCTCCACTCTGCTACTCGATCTCCTTCTACATTACTCATCTTCCCTTTGTGTTATCCTGTTCTTCCTTTCCCTGTTCCTTTAGTTTACTCCAGCTTCCACGGATGAGAGAAAACTTTTGACCTTTGAGTTTCTGAGTTTGGCTTATTTCATTTAGCATGATTTTCTCCATTTTCATCCATTTACTGAAAAAATACCATAATTTCATTCTTCTTTATGGCCGAATAGAACTCTATTGTATATATGTATACAACATTTTGTTAATCCATTCATCTATTGACAGGCATCTTGATTGATTCCATAATTTAGCTACCATGAATTGTACTGCTATATACATTGAGGTGGTGTATTGCAATAACATGCCTGTTTTAGAACTATGGGGGAAATACCAGGGCGTGGGATAGCTGGGTCCTCTAATGGTTCCATCTCTAGTTTTTGAGGAATCTCCATACTGTTTTCCAAAGTGATTGTAGTCCTACCAACAATGTACAGCACGTAGTATTGTTTGTATTCTTGATCATTGCCATTCTGGCTGGAGTAAGATGAAATCTTAGTATAGTTTTGATTTGCATTTATCTGATTGCTAGAGATGTTGAACATTTTTTCATATATTTTTTGCTTTTCTGTTCCAGGGATGATCCACTGAGCCACATCCCCAGCCCTTTTTATTTTTTATTTTGAGACAGGTTCTCACTAAATTGCTGAGGCAGGCTTTGAACTTGCAATCCTCTTGTGTCAGTCTCGCAAGCAGCTGGGATTACAGGCATGTACCACCATGCCTGACATTTTTGGCCATTTGTATTTCTTCTTTTGAGAAGTCTCTATTCAGTTGTTTTGCCCATTTATTGATTAGGTTATTTGGTTTTTTGGTGTTTTTTTTTAAGTTTTTATACATTCTGGGTATTAATCTCATATTGGAGTAGTGGCTGGCCAAGATTTTTTTCATTCTGTAGGCTCGCTCTCCATGCTCTTAATCATTTCCTTTGCTCTGCAGAAGCTTTTTAGTTTGATGGCATCCCACTTATTGATTCTTGGTTGTATTTCTTGTGCTTTGGTGGTCTTGTTAAGGAACTCAGTGCCAGCACCTTTATGATGAAGTGTTGACCCCCTGTTTTCTTCTAGAAGATGCAAGATTTCTAGTCTAATTCCTAAGTAGTTTAAAGGCATTTTGATGTGTATTTTTGGAAATGAGAGGTTGAACAGTACTATCAAAGGTCAGTCTTAACAGTTCTAACTTAAAAAATGATCAGCTCATATGCTGTATTAAATTATTCATAGTACTTAGAATATGACTCAAGATTCCTCACCTTGCCTTACAAAACCTTTCTGCAATCTGGTTTCCACCTGCAGTTCCAGCCTGGTCTTTTGTATCTTTTTTTCACTAAACTGCATCAATACTGTCCTGACAGTTTTTCAAACACAGCTAACTATCTTGAAATTTATTTCCTCCCCTAACATGATGGGCTTCTAAACACTTTGGATCAGCTTCAATGTTACCCCTTCAAAGGGTCTTAAAGTTTCTAAGTAAAGCATTTGTTCACTGTGTGTCTTGTTTTCTGTTATGAACCATTGTGTTTGTTTGTCTGTTTGTTTATTTTTACAGTTTTTTTGGTGGTGCTGTGATTGAACCCAGGGCCTTGTGCATGCAAGGCAAGCACTCTAAAATGGAGTTATATCCCCATCTCCTACTGTATCTATTTCTGTTATCAATCTCTATCATCCTTTCCCCTGCCCCCACTGGAATATAATCCGTAAGATGTAAAGTCTAGGAGAACAAGGAACTTATCTGTCTTAGTTTGCATTCTGTGCACTCTATGTGACACATGATATTTTTGGCCAGAAGAATATAGACACAGCAAGCCACAAACTAAGAAGATACTTGCATGTAATTAATACCAACAATGGTTTTTGTTTGTTTGTTTGTTTTGTTTTTAATTTTTTATTGTTGGTTGTTTGTTTTGTTTTTTGACCTGGGAATTGAACCCAAGGATGCTTAACCACTGAGCCATCTCCCCAGCCCTTTTTATTTTTGAGACAGGATCTCCTAAATTCCTGAGACTGTCCTTGAACTCAAAATTCTCCTGTCTTAGCCTCCCAGATCACTAGGGTTATAGGGATGCACTACTATGCGCAGCTTTTTTAACAATTTTCAGAAGGCAAAAATAAAATATCTCCTTTTCTGGGATCTTACTCTGTTTATTGAAGCAGCATATTTTATCTATATGCAATTGAGTTCATAGAGACAAGCCCATCAAAATCTCCCAAGTTGTCATAAGACTGCTGCCATTTGCAGTAACTGAGGTTAGATGGGTTCTCTTGCTACCGCTCCTGTATTGATTTGGTTGACCCTGCTTGATTTACTTGTATGTGGAGATACTAACCCAAGGTGCAGTGTATTCTATCCTTCCTACACTCAGGTAGTTTCTGTAGATTGAGAACCTGACCTCTGAACTTGCAGAAGAGAGTCTTATAATCATCAATCGTCATGAAGTTCTTTAAACAGCTCTGCTGAGACCCTACCTGACTCAACCAGCCATACAATTCACCTCATATCAAATTTGTTTAATTTGTACATGTTTGTGTATGTGTGTATTGTGTAGAACTCCACAGTGAGTTATAAAGCATCCTAAGTCTAAGGACTTAAGATGGCATTGATCATACTGCCAGGGCCTATAGCAATATCTAACACTTAGTGAGTTCTCAGTAACTCTTGAATGAATGACATTAAGGACCAGTTTCTGAGTACATTCTGTGATTGGTTGTTTGTTTACTATACATTCAACACTGATGACATAACCATGATTTACAGCTTTGTGGAAAGCTTATTGGTATTTTCATCATACCAATGATAACAGACAACTGAGCTATGTTACTTGCCAAATGCACTGAAAATAGAATTTCTCTTGGTGAACCTGTCATTTGTACCAATAAAAGAAAACCAAGAGATGAGCAAGGTGACGCACACCTATAGTCCCATCCCACTGGCTCTAGAAGCTGAGGCAGAAAGATCATGAGTTCAAAGCTAGCCTCAGCAACTTAGCAAGGCCCTAAACAATTCTGTGAGACCCTGTGTCAAAAAGGGCTGGAGCTGGAACTGGGGTTGTGGCTCAGAGGTGGAGCGCTCGCCTAGCATGTGCAAGGCCCTGGATTCAATCCTCAGTACCACATAAAGATAAATAAATAAAATAAGTATATTGTGTCCAACTACAACTAAAAAAAATAAATATTTGAAAAAGGGGGGCAGAGGCCTATAATCCTAGCAGCTAGGGAGGCTGAAACAGAAGAATCGCGAGTTCAAAGACAGTCTCAGCAACAGTGAGGCAAGGCGCTAAGCAACTCAGTGAGACCCTGTCTCTAAATAAAATACAAAATAGGGCTGGGATGTGGCTCAGTTGTTGAGTGCCCTCAGTTCAATCCCTGGTACCAAAAAAGAAGAAGAAAACCACACTTAATAGCCTGAAATATAGTACTTAATGTTTAGTTAAAAGTAGTTTACTAAGTACAGGACTTAGTTAACTGAAAAAGTGTTTTCATAAATGTGTGTTTGTGTTTTCTTTTCATAGACATCTCGATCACTGATCATACTGCCCTTGCTCAATTCTGCAAAGATGAGAAAATTGAATTTGTAGTTGTTGGACCAGAGGCACCTCTGGCTGCTGGTAAGTTTCATTTGTATTTATTAAAAAGGCAAATAACCAGAATCTGACCTCTAGAGGTGAGATGTTGTATCTGTTACAGATAAGGACTTTTAATAGTAGAAAAAGAACTTTGGTCTTGAAATTTATGGATTCTAGATTTTTCTTTTCCCAAATGTCAATAATGAGGTAGGGATCCAATTTGTAATCATGAGAAACATTTTATATATCGTTGATCTATTCTGGTGTCTATTTAATAATCCATATATTCAAATACAACAGATTTTGCTGTTTTGTTTTTGTTTTTCGGTTCTGGGGATTGAACCCAAAGGTACTATACCACTGAGCCACATCCCTAGCCCTACATATTTTTTATTTTGAGACAGGATCTCATTAAGTTGCCTAGGGACTTGCTAAGCTCCTGAGGCTGGCTTCGAACTTGCTTTCCTCATGCCTTAGCCTCCTGAGTTGCTGGGGTGCTAGGATTACAGGTATGCACCCCACTGTGCCCTACTCTTTTTTTTTTTTTTTTTTTTCCTTTTTCTTTTTCTCTTAAAGTGTTGACCAGGTCAGTTTCAAACTTATGGGCTTAAGTGATCCTCCTACCCCAGCCTTCCCAGTGACTGGGACTATAGGCGCGTGCTAACATGCCTGGTTTTTCTGCTGGATTTGAATCACCTCTTAGTGGCCTATTGTTTATAAGTAGTAGACAATATGAAAAACTTAGTTATCCTCTGCCACCAGTTATCTACCTGCCTTGTATAAAGTTATTTGGTCTAATCCTAATTCGTATTCAGTCTAAAAGTTCAAAAGAGAGATCTTTGGTCCCCTAACTGACTGTCTGCTTTGATAGGAATTGTTGGGGACCTGACCTCTGCAGGAGTACGATGTTTTGGCCCCACAGCAGAAGCAGCTCAGTTAGAATCCAGCAAAAGATTTGCCAAAGAGTTTATGGACCGACACAGAATCCCAACTGCACAATGGAGAGCTTTCACCAAACCTGAAGAGGCCTGTAGCTTCATTATGAGGTAGGTAGAAGGCTGCCTATGAAGGGGAGTTGTTGAATTAGGATATTTACATATAAAATCACTTTTATGTTGAAATATAATGGTTGGTTCTTAGGCTATCATGAGTTTATAATAAAATAATTATAAAAGAAATTATTTGTAGCTGAAGAGGTAGCTCAGTGGTATAACACTTGCCTAGCATGTGCAAATCCTTGGGTTCAATCCCTGACACCACAAAGAAGGAAGAGGGCGTGGGGAGGAAGGAAGGAAGGAACATATTTTCAATAAATGTTAGGTAAGTTACCTTTTTCCAATACCGAATTTTTCCAACACCAAAATAAGATTATAAAATCTGTGACATTATAGAAAGATGAAATTTTAATAATTATTACTGAGTAGTTCCTGGGAGGGAAAATATGCTTAGTTTTGTTAAGTCATGCACTCTTTTCACAACCAACTGAAAAGCACAGAGGTATCTTATAACATAAATGTTCTTGATTTTTTTCATAAATAATTAACCAAAGTGAAGAATCATCACTTGGTCGTCTGCCACCACTGCTCCATCCTAATCTTAAAATTAAACATTCTTTGTTCTCTTATATATGGAAAACATTGATTGAGTTGGGATTGTGGCTCAGCGGTAGAGTGCTTGCCTAGCATGGGCGGGACCAGGGTTGGATCCTCAGCACCACATAAAAATAAAGGCATTGTGTTGTGTCCATCTACACCTAAAAAATAAATATTAAAAGAAGAAGAAGAAAAAGAAAACATTGAAAATGAGTTAATGTCATTAGGCAAATCTTTGCCCTCTTTTTGTTGACATTGTCTACTACCCAATATGTTTTCCTTTCATTTGGGTCAAGTTCATTCTTTATTCATTCTTCATCTTACAGGGTTTCTTAGACACTGAATATTAATATTTCCTAGGAGTGAAGCCAGATTTAAAGTTAGGTAGTCAGTGTAGTTAGGTAAATCGGGTCTAATACTGAGTGAAATCTAAAATGGAGGCAGATGCCTTGGGTAAGTAACAGTTTTGTTACTTACTTTGGGTAACCCTTCTTCTAGACCCAGTCCCATTCCATGATTACTTGTCTTGGCTTCCAAAAATTTTCTGTGTCCATGATTTTGTTGGTTTATACAGCCACATCTTTTACTTAAATGAGATTCACTACTTTCTGTCTTAAAGATCATTTCATGTCTACTCTATGCATCTGCTTATTCCTCCAGAGATTTTGCCTGTGTGATCTCATTGTAAGTGAAAAAAAGAATAGATAGATAGATAGATAGATATAGTCTATGATCACAGCTATAAAGGAATGCTTATGAAAAAAGTCCTGGCAGGAAGTATGTCAAGATGACTTTAGAATGATAAGTGATTTTTTTTCTGCTTTTCAGTTGATGCTACAGTATATTATTATAGAATCCTAAAACATTTTTAAATGTTGAGTTATAAGCATTTATGGGATATTGAAGATTGCTCTGCTTTGTAGTGCGGACTTCCCTGCTTTGGTTGTGAAGGCCAGTGGTCTTGCAGCTGGGAAAGGAGTGATTGTTGCAAAGAGCAAAGAGGAAGCCTGCAAAGCTGTACAGGAGATCATGCAGGTAAATTGGTTCTTCTGAAAGTTTCCTTTTCCATTCATACCAGATAAATACTCTTAAGTTATAAAATGTTGGGGCTATGATCGTGCCTCAGTGATAGAACCCTTGCCTAGGATGTGTGAGGCACTGGGTTTAATCCTAAGCCCCGCATAAAAATAAATAGTAAATAAAATAAAGGTATTGTGTCCATCTACAACAAAAATATTTTTTTTTAGGTTGGAAAAAAAAAAGATTACAATATGTACCTCAAAATAAGGAAACTCTGGGGCTGGGAACGTGGCTCAGTGATAGTGGATACCTACCATGAGCAAGGCCCTGGATTCAATTTCCAATACACCTCACACCTCCACAAACAAAGAGAAGGAAAACACAGCGAAGTTATTTTTTATCATACTATGTATTATAATTCATTTTTATAGAATAGTTCTTACAGATCCACACTAATAATTAAATCATAACTCATTCTGTTGAAGTAAGTTCTAACATCCTTTATTTTCTGCTACTGAAAGGTAGAAAATCCTCAGGCTATAGAACATATATATCTCAAATCATCCATGAGGACTATCGTCTTTATCCCGCGTGTCCCAATTCTAAGAGAAATGGAGCAATGAATATACGTTTTTCTTTCGTGATCCATCTGGGTTGTTTTGATTTTACCCCCTTAGAGAAAGCTTTTGTAGGCATTTAGAATATAGTATATAGGCAAACATATACAGTTATAATTAAGATGAAGATTAAATGGTGATAATGAAAACAACTGCTTTTCCTCTGTTCCAAATAGAAAACCAAATCCTCAGGTAAGTATTGGTAATGTGTTTGTTGTGCAGTTCATCTGTAGCAATGTGCATTCCACATCTTTGTCACGTTAAAAATAGGAAACACTCAAACATTCTTTTGAGTCTTTCAGAAAGGAAAAGAAAAAATCACATATGATATAATACATAGTATGATTTGTAATACAAATGGTGCAATGACAAAAATCAAGTAAATACTAAAAGCTTATAATTTACCAAGTTGTTTTTTGTTTGTTTGTTTTTATTTTGGTTTTTTGTTTAACCTATAATTTAGGATAAAGCTTTTGGAGCAGCTGGAGAAACAATTGTTGTTGAAGAACTTCTTGAAGGAGAAGAGGTGTCTGTACGTATATTCATCTTTTTTGGAATTTAAAGCATATAAAAAGATGTTGTCTGATCAGTGTACCCAAGAAAGACTTGATTAATCTGGTTGTTGCACCTAATACTATAACTTGTTCAGATAAAAAGGAATCTGTGTATGTTTAGTATTCGGGATACAAATGAAAAAATAATTTATCTTTTTAAAATCATCTCCAGTGTCTCAGTGGTGGTCCTTGGATTTATATTTCACATTATTGAGGTTCTGGATTTATTCAAACATTCATGCTTTTTCTTTTACATACATTTTATTATACAGTAAGTAGTGAAATGTGTTCCCTTAAGTAGAGTTTTAATGCTTGCAAATTTCAAGGGAAAAGGGTTAAGATATTTTACTTGGAGAGTAGCTTTTTTTTCCCCTGATTTATCTAAAAAATTACATATCTTCTAGAAGCTGACTATATGAGATTTTCTATAGTTTGGAATTATTTATGCATTAATTTTTCTTCAGAAATAATTTTATGCAAAGAAGAGTTGAGGTACATAACTCACCTTCTTAGGTTTTTTTTTTTTTTTAACCTTTTTTGGCATTTACTTAAGTGGACTATTTTTTTTTCTCCATAGTGTCTGTGTTTCACTGATGGGAGGACAGTGGCCCCCATGCCTCCAGCACAGGACCATAAACGATTACTGGAGGGAGATCAAGGCCCCAACACAGGGGGAATGGGAGCCTATTGTCCCACACCTCAGGTACTTCCCAGGGACTCAAGTTCAACAGTAATTGTTTGGGCTTTTCAGAGAGCTTTTAGATGATGCTGTTCTGTTTTGACTTCTTTCTTTCATATGTTTTTGTAAATTCTGTTACTAATCAGCAATTTGATTATTTTGTTGTTGTCTTGTTTTGAGACCATGTTCCCAGGTTGGCCTTCAACTTAAGATCCTCCTGCCTTAGCCTCCCAAGAGCTGGAATTGCAGGCACATGACACCATGCCTCACTTTATTTCTTTTTATTAAATTAAAAATATCTTTTCTGGTTTCTAAAACTAAACTCTTCTAAAAGCCTTTGAAGAATAAAAATTGCCGATTTGATTTTTTTGCACAAGGGATTGAATTCAGGGACATTCGACCACTTAGCTACATCCCCAGCCCTATTTTGTATTTTTTATTTAGAGACAGGATCTCACCGAATTGCTTAGCACCTCGCTTTTGCTGAGGCTGGCTTTGAACCCATGATCTTCATGTCTTGGCCTCCCGAGCCACTGGGATTACAGGCATGCACCACCATGCCCGGCCCAATGATTTTTTAACTTATCTAAAATGTAGTGAGTAGATCCTTCTTTCCCCTCCTCTCTACACCCAATTTTTAACCAATGGGAGCCTTGTAATTATAGTGTAAAATTTTTCATCTCTGGATATCCAGGCCCCAGCACATACACAGGATGTGTGTGTGTAGGTTGTTTTGGTGATACTGGGATTAAACTCAGTGGCTCTCTACCACTGAGTTATGTCCCCATACCATTTGTTTCTTATTGTGAGACAGAGCCTCAATAAGTTGCCCAGGCTGGTCTGAACTACTGCCTACTGCCTTAGCCTCTCAAGGAGTGGGGATTACAGGCATATGCCACCATGCCCAACTTCGTTTTTCATTATTGAACTATAGAGCTTCAAAAATATACACACTGAACCAAGCATGGTGGCAAAAGCCTGTAATACCAGTGACTTGCAATAGGATCACAAATAGACCAGCTTCAGCAACTTAGCGAGACCCTATCTCAAAATAAAATAAAAAGGGCTAAGAATGTAGCTCTGTGGTAAGGCACTATTAGGTCGTAAATATTAGTCATCATGTAAAATGGCACAGACTGTTTTTAGGAATACCACAAAAAAAATAATAAAAATGAAAGGTGCTTTAACAAGTTACTTTACTTAGAAATGGTGGTTAGCACTGATCTTTGATTTGGCAAGGAACATATAATGTAGCCTCTGATTGTGATAATTTATCAGACTCAGAGATTTTACTCTCCTGTTCTGCAAAAATAAGTCTAAAATAGGGGTTGAGGATATAGCTCATTGGTAGAGTGCTTGCCTCACATGCACGAGGTCCTGGATTCAATCCCCAGCACCACAAAAAAAAAAGTCTAAAATATCTACTTGATGGGGAGGTGTTCAACCTGTCTCAGGTAGTAAAAAAATAATAGTCTTCATTGTTGTATGTGATACCGCTTACAAGTTGAATTTTTAACATAACATTTATCGTTAAAAATTTCTGTATATTCCCCAGGTTTCTGAGGATCTGTTACTAAAAATTAAAAATACTGTCCTTCAGAGGACAGTAGATGGCATGCAGCAAGAGGGTACTCCATACACAGGTGAGCTTCTTGATATTGACATCATTTATAGAGCAGCTGTTTATTTTCTATTTTATAGTGATGATAATGTCTTCGTTACAGGTTCTTTTTTAATAAAGGGATTTTCTTTTTTAATGAAGGGATTCTTTATGCTGGCATAATGCTGACCAAGGATGGCCCAAAAGTTTTGGAATTTAATTGCCGTTTTGGTGATCCAGAGTGCCAAGTAAGTAACAGTCATTAAACTTAATAAAGTATTTCTTTGGCGAGGTTGTATGTTGTCCTAATCTCAGGATTTTTTCAGCCTTGAAATAATTACCTTTGAGAAACACATACAAGCTCTGCTAATACCCCAATGAATAAAATGTCTATAAAGAAAATTAAAATTTATCTAATTTTCCATGTTAATTGTGTTTTTCCAGGTAATCCTCCCACTTCTTAAAAGTGATCTTTATGAAGTAATTCAGTCCACCTTAGATGGCCTGCTGTGCACGTCTTTACCCATTTGGCTAGAAAACCACACTGCCATAACTGTGGTCATGGCAAGTAAAGGTTATCCTGGAGCTTACACCAAGGGTGTGGAGGTAACAGGTGAATAAGGAATAAGAGGTTGAATTTCAATGTGATAATTAACTGGTGCCATCAGGGACCTCCCTCCCATGCAAATGCTTGCCCTTGCTAAGAGTGTGAAGCCATCAGAAACCTTTCAAAAGTTTTTAACATACTACATTGCTAGTTGGATATGTCATAAATTATCCAAAATGACTATTTAAAGAACTGCCATCTATTTGTCTTCCCATATAAGGAAACATACGTAATCCAACCAAATTTCCACAGTATTCCCAGTGTAAGCTTTCACTTCCACCCTCCCAAAGTCAGGGTGTTAATGAGACATAGGAAAGTTAGAGGACCGTTAATGTAAACTACATCAACAAGATATATTTAAGACATGGTCTCTGAATGATTACAAGAGGCATACAACCTTGAGTGGTTTGACCCCATAATTTACAGTTAGTCATCAATGTAAATGGCACAGACTGTTTTGGGGAGAAATTGCCTGATAGAAATTTAAACAAAGAAGTAGTAGTTGAATACAGTGGTGCACGCCTGTAATACTAGTGGCTCTGGAGGCTGAAACAGGAGGATCACAAGTTCAAAGCCAGCCTCAGCAACTTAGCAAGACCCTATCTCAAAATAAAAATTTAAAAATCCAGGCTGGGGATGTGGCTTCTTCCCCACCACCACCACCACGACTATTCAATCCCAGTACCAAAGAAAAACCTTGTGGAAATGGTAAATCACTCCACAGTGTGAAATATGGTAATTTGAAATCCTGCATCAAATCTGTTCTCTTACAGGGTTTTCTGAGACTACAGCTTTAGGACTAGAAGTGTTCCATGCAGGCACTACCTACAAAAATGGCAGAGTGGTGACCAGCGGGGGAAGAGTCCTTACAGTAACAGCCATTCATGAAAACCTCATATCTGCCCTTGAAAAAGCCAAGAAGGGACTCACTGCTATAAAGTTTGAGGGAGCAATTTACAGGAAAGACATCGGCTTTCGCGCCATAGCTTTCCTTCAGCAGCCCAGGTAAAAATCTTATGAGGTAGTTATGGTACGACTTCAGAACTACACTGAGTGATTGTAGAACATTCTGTTACTCCTGTACTGTTATATCATTTTTTCTCTGAGACTGAGCTATTCTTTATTCTTGGTCTATGTTTTTTGAATCATATCCGTTTACAGCAATGTTCAAATTAAGTGGAAAAACTTCATGGTGGTTCCTTACCTGAAAAGTTTAGCAATATCCTAACACCACACAAGAAAAAAGTAAAAATTAGGGTTACATAAACTCTACATAAATATTCCTGAATAACCAAACTGAGTTCTTAATGTAACCATATCAATTTCTTTGTAGTTGAGGATAGTAAGAACAAGATTAAACCTATTTAAAAAGCATAACCAGATAATGATACTCAGTGCATCATTTTTACAGATCAAGTTTGTGCATCTGCATTGTGAAATCTGTAGTTCTGCCTTGTAAAAATGAGAACTTTCAATGGGCATGGTGATGCATGCCTATAATCCCAGAAGCTCCAGAGGCTGAGGCAGGATGATCCAGAGTTTAAAGCCAGCCTCTGCAAAAGCGAGGCACTAAGCAACTCAATGAGACCCTGTCTCTAAATAAAATACAAAATAGGGCTGGGGATGTGGCTCAGTGGTTAAGTGCCTCTGAGTTGAATCCCCGGTACCAATAAGAAAGAAAAAAACCCCAAAACAAAAAACTTTGGTTTAATGGGTTGGAATGATAGATGAAGAAGTATGTAAGAGTTTATCAGAAACAAGCTGCCAGGGTAACAACTAAAATTGAGAGAACTGGCAATTAATTCAAAGTCAGCAGCCCAAATTTACTCTCAGAGAGATATTGAAGCCCACTCCATGGATACGCTTGTGAATGTTGATGGTGTATTCCCAAGGTCACGACCTCGTTGATGGCAGAACGGCCCTTCTTCTCACCACCCTTCTTTCCGGGAGCCATTCTGCCAGGCCCAAGTTGGAAAGGAAGGGCGCGAAGGATTGTCAAATTTCACCTTTTGACTTGGTTCTGACATTGCCCATACTGAAGTTGAACCAAGAAAGGTTGTAGCAAAATATCAGTGAATTTAAGAGCTAGCAAGTTGCTGTGTAATGGATAGTTTCAATTTCACAAGATGAAAGTAAATAGAGGTGGATGGCAGTGATGGTTGTACAACATTATGAATATTTACTACCACTATACACTTAAAAATGGTTAAGATGGTAAATTTTGTTATGTGTATATTACATCAAAAATTTTCAAAGAATCAAGATATTTAGCAGCCTGTAAAAAGTACTTCTAGAAGAAATGGGTGATGAAGTTAGAGCGATGGTTCACAGCAGAGATGATGCTATGGAGTCAACTAAGGAAATTGTGTAAACATTTCATTTTCCAGGGCTACACTAAACTAGATCAGTCAAATCCATTTATATGGCTAGGCATTGACTATGGAAGATTTTAAGCACCCTAAGGAATGTGAAAATCACTTGGGATAATTTCTGCTTTAAATACTATTTTCTACTATAAAAGTAATTTTTCCTGGCATTAAGGTGATGTTTTGATTATTATTGTTTCCAATTTCTTAGGGGCTTCACTTACAAGGGATCTGGGGTAGACATTGCAGCTGGAAATATGCTGGTTAAGAAAATAAAGCCTTTAGCAAAAGCCACCTCCAGACCAGGTAAGTCAAATCCTGTACTTGCTAATTTATTGACAGGTGTGAATTAATTTGGGCTTTTTAAAAAAAAAAAAAAAAACTTCAAGAAGGAAAATAATTTTTAAAAATGGGGCTTTATATTTAAAATAAATGCTAGATTCCTTTAAATCTTGCCGTACTTAAGCTAAACCCATAGTCAGCTACCTTCCTTTTTGTTTTTGTTTATTTATTTACTTAGGTACTGGGGATTGAACCCAGTGGTACTTTACCACTGAGCTCTATCCCCACCCTTTTTTATTTTGAGACAGGGTCTTTCTAAGTTACTTAGGGCCTCTCAGCCTCCCAAATTGCTAGGATTAGAGGTTTGCACCACCACATCTGATTTATCTGCCTTTCTGTCTCTAATATTAAGTAAATCACTTCTGTGATGTTATTACTTTTATTTCTTTATATCTTCCTTTTTTTATTATTACAAATTCTTTGAAATCATTTAATTAGATCATACTTTCGAGGCCTTTTCTCCCAATGTTATTACTTTCTTGATCAGTTCTTGGAGCACATGGTGCTCCATCCCATTCTCTGTTTCCAGGCAGCTGTTTTAGAAGTAGCAGCATGAATATTCATGTTTAATTGATCTGTCATAATGCAATAAGTAATTAATGTCCTCTGCAATAGGCTGTGACGTAGATCTTGGAGGTTTTGCTGGTCTTTTTGATTTGAAAGCGGCTGGTTTCAAAGATCCTCTTCTGGCCTCTGGAACTGATGGTGTTGGAACTAAACTCAAGGTAGACATTGTTGTGTATAAAGATCTTTTGTGAACGATGAGAGAATTTACTGCATATCAAAAACATATTTTTTTCTCTTTAGACATACATGAGCTAAAAAGAACTATACCAAAAAACCATATGAATAAAATGTTTGTACATTTCCAACAACAAAATATTGTTCTGTCTATCTTTGAGTGGAAGGGCAATTTTAGGAAATAAAAAGGGATAGTTTTAGACCACATTGCTTATCAAAATTTAGTGTTATTTTGTCTTGAGATGTTAAGAGTATCTGGCCAATGTCATTGGTTTTTGTTAGCCTCATGGATAAATTGACAAGATGCAGTATGGCAGTTATTCTCTGATGTGAAATGTGAATGTTTGTTTTTTACAGATTGCCCAGCTGTGCAATAAACACAATACAATTGGTCAAGATTTGGTTGCAATGTGTGTAAATGATATTCTGGCACAAGGAGCAGAGCCCCTCTTCTTCCTTGATTACTTCTCCTGTGGAAAGCTTGACCTTAATATGTCTGAAACCGTCATTGCCGGAATTGCTACAGCTTGTGAACAGGCTGGATGTGCTCTCCTTGGTATGATCATCCATTTTAACACTTTTTTTTTTTTTTGCAGTGCTGGAGATTGAACTTAGCACCTCACACATGCTAGGCAAACACTCCACCACTGAGTTATACTTCCAGATCCTGATCATACATTTTAACCATAGGTGCTCCTTCTTCTTATATATCAGCCCTGTATAGATGTCAGAATCAATGTCAGAATAGCTAGTGAAAGAGACTCTATATCACAGGATGTGACAAATGAAATATAGATACAACTGTTGGAATTACTCTTGGATTCTGGTGCCCTCAATGCCCCCTTGAGGGTTTATTCCCCAAACTCAAAACTCCTGAGTTGTCAGGCAGGCTTATTTTTCTCCCCAACCTCTGGCCACTTTTTCTTCTACTTCCTTCTCAATAACTTCAACAGATTAGGCTTGTGGATTATTCCCATTTATTGTCCCCACAGAAAGGTAGATGGGTCTTGGTATTCAATATTTCAAACCATATTTGTTCATAGAAGTGACAAAGAATAAAATGTTCCCAGATTTTGTAGAAATACTGCTATCTATATGGACTTTCTAGCAAAATTAATTTGTAAGTGAACAAGAATGAAACAACCACTTTCATATTATTTCTGTGAACAAGTCAGATCCAAAAGCCAAAAAATTGCCCTTTAACTAATTTGGCATCTGCTTGCCTCTACTTTCATATGAGATCATCATAAATTGCACTATTAAACTTTATAGGCCAGGGCATTTGGAGTTGAGGCACTCTTGGTTAAAATTACTTCTCCATTAACTAGACGATGGTATAGATGGAGTGATTTTAAAGATCAGATGTCTATGAAATATTTCTTAAGCTAAACTGATATAGAAATGAAGTTATATTCAACTTAGCATTCATCCTATGAAAGTAGTGATATTTAGAGGCTACATACAGACTTGTAGAGGTATTGACCTTTGTAGAAATTAGTATTTCCTCTGAAATCATGCTTGGTTGCACATGCTGTGAGCCAGCTAATATATGTGGTTATATACAGGATATAACCATGTGTTTAACGGTTCATGTTAAGAAGATTTGCTGTTGGGTCTGGGGTTGTGGCTCAGTTGTAGTGAGCTTGCCTAGCACATGGGAGGCACTCAGCACCACATAAATAAATAAATAAAGGTATTGTATCCAACTACAACTCCAAAAAAGAGAGAGAGAGTTGATTGTTGATTGGAGCTAATTAAAAAAAAAAAGAGGGGCTGGGGTTGTGGCTTAGCTGTAGAGCGCTCACCTCGCATGTGAAATAAAGGTTAAAAAAAAAAAAAAAGAATATTTGCTGTCATTGTCTCCTAAGGAAATGTATAAATATAATGTGATTTTTTTTCTCTCTTGCCTTAATCTCCCAGGAGGTGAAACAGCAGAAATGCCCGACATGTATCCTCCTGGAGAGTATGATCTAGCTGGTTTTGCTGTTGGTGCTATGGAGCGGGATCAGAAACTGCCTCACCTGGAAAGGATCACTGAAGGGGATGTTATTGTTGGAATAGCTTCATCTGGTCTCCACAGCAATGGATTTAGCCTTGTGAGGAAAATTGTGGCAAACTCTTCCCTGCAGTACTCCTCTCCAGCACCTGATGGTTGTGGTGACCAGTCCTTAGGTAAATTAATTCGTGCTTGGATATAACTAAGTAGTCAATTAGTGTGTTTTGTGTCTCATTACTGAAAGCTAGAATGGAATGAATTACATTGCCCTGTGATTTACATTATCCTGTGATTTTGTTGCTTGGGCATCTTATAGAACTGGTATGTCTTTGCAAGGTCATACTCATTGTCCATTTCAGAATTGTTTTATGTTTTGGTTTTTTACCTATAGGCTGTTTTTGTCTTATTTCTTCAATCTTCAGGGGACTTACTTCTAACTCCAACCAAAATCTACAGCCGTTCTTTGTTACCTGTCATACGTTCAGGACATGTTAAAGCCTTTGCTCATATTACTGGTGGAGGACTACTGGAAAACATTCCCAGAGTTCTCCCTCAGAAATTTGGGGTGGATTTAGGTAAGTTTACTGAAGGGAACTTTTGTTCAAAAAAACCACTGGGGGGGTGGGGAATACACTGTGGGACAAACTCCAGGTAGTTAGTGCACATATGATTATAAGTGGAAACTTGTTAATCATTAAGGTTTCATGGGGGGAAACTGGGATGAACCTTTTCTACCTTTTTTTATTATCCATGTTTATGAGTCATGTCACTGGCTTATATAAGGATTGAAGTGCTATAAGCTGGAGCCCTACATGCCAGGAAAGGAAGTAATAACTGTGAAGTAGTCCACACTAGAGATGAAAGAACTAGGGAATAAAAAAGGGAAAAACATTTGAGAATTAATTCTTGCCTAGAAAAAAAAAGTCTCAAGATCTTAGTTAAGCAGGTGAGTAGATGGCAACATCACTAACACAGAACGGAGAGTAGTGGAGCAGAGCAGAAAGTGAGGATGTAGTGCTTAAGATCTTCAGTGAATCTCTTCCAAGGCAACTGAGCAAAAGTTGAGATCAGACCAAAGATAAGTCTGGAGGTTGTACTCACAAAGCTATAGTTACAGCCAAGAGAGTGGAAAGGACCAAAAATTATCCCTCAGAGGAAGAATTACTGAAAAGAACTGTTAGAAGTAGGAGCTAAACCACGTGAAGTATGGTCATCAATCCCAAGGATTTTTTGGTGCAGTACTGGAGATTAAACCCAAGGCATTGTGTATGTTAGGCAGTACTCTATCACTGAGCTACATTCCCAGCCCTCTTATTTTATTTTGAGACAGGGTCCCTCTAAGGTACTAAGGCTGGCATCAAACTTGAGCCTTGATGTTCTCAGTTGATAGGATTATGGGAATGCACCACTGCACCCCACTGCTATTGGGTTCACTATTGAAGGCATAGTGAACATCATGGTAGCTAAAATCTTTTGAACTTAACTTTTAAGAATTGACATTCCAGCTGGGCGCAGTGGTGCATTGCATGTAATCCCAGTGGCTCCTGAGGCTGAGACAGGAAGATTGAGAGTTCAAAGCCAGCCTCAGCAAAAGCATGGTGCTAAGCAACTTGGTGAGACCCTGTCTCTAAATAAAACGCAAATTAAGGCTGGAAATGTGACTCAGTGATCAAGTGCCCCTGAGTTCAATCCCAGGTAGCCAAAAATAAATTTGACATTCCTAACTAATATAAATGTAATTAAGTCCAGTACGGGAGAAGATTCATAGACATACAATGCATATTACAAATTAACTCCATAGAATTAAAACCAAGTATCCTGTAGATATATCAAATAAATGGGGGAAGCTGATAGTAAACCTCATTATTTAATAAAAAGCTATATTCCTTTTTATAGGAGCATCATAAATAATTTTATTCAGTATTGTTTTGGGAAATCAGATCCCATAACTGTAGACTCAAAAAAACCAACCAAATTATTTCATTATTCAGAAGTTTTGTATGTAGGCCTAAAATTTTTACTAGAGATTTTTGTTGTATGATTTGTGATAATGCACGATATATTCTTTTTCTTTTTTAATATTTATTTTTTAGTTATCGGTGGGCACAACATCTTTGTTTGTATGTGGTGCTGAGGATCGAACCCGGGCCGCACGCATGCCAGGCGAGCGCGCTACCGCTTGAGCCACATCCCCAGCCCCCTGCACGATATATTCTTATAGCAGACCCAAGAATATAAATTTTAAAATAAATGAGATTCAGGGTGTTGATCATAATCCTTTTCTGTAGCATGACTTTTCTCAAATGATGTATATATTTCCTTTAAGTCTGTGTATAAGCCATCTACTTTTTTATGATACTTAGAGTGCATTTTTGTCATTGCTAAGATCCAACTAATGGGCTGGAGTTGTGGCTCAGTGGTAGAGCGCTTGCCTAGCACATGTGAGACACTAGGTTCAAACCTGAGCACCACATAAATAAATAAATAAAATAAAGATATTGTGTCCATCTACAACTTAAAAAAAAAATGCATTTAAAAGAAGAAGAAAAAAGATCCAGCTAAGTATTCACTAGAGAACAGTATGCCAGTCTCTACTGGAATTCAGCTACTATCAATCCAACCCATTAAAATGGCTTTTTAAAATCTAATGAGTTAATGCAGCATAAAACCTCATTGAAGTGTGATTGTTGGCCAACTGTTTCAAAAAAAAAGTGCTATGAGGGCTGGGGTTGTGGCTCAGAGGTAGAGCACTCGCCACTCGCCTACCATTAGTGAGGCACTGGGTTCGATCCCCAGTACCACATAAAAATAAAATAAAGATATTGTATCTATCGATGACTAAAAAATAAATATTTTTTTAAAAAGTGCTATGAATGTCTAAAGTATAAATGGATGCCCAAAACACAAAAACTTCTGAAAGGCCAGTTTATAGTTTTACTTGATAAAAAATAACAGAGCTATCAGTTAATCATACAACTTGCTGGTTTTCAGATGCCCAGACATGGAGGATCCCCAGGGTCTTCTCATGGTTACAGCAGGAAGGACAGCTCTCTGAAGAAGAGATGGCCAGAACATTCAACTGTGGTATTGGAGCTGTCCTTGTGGTATCAAAGGATCAGACAGGGCAGATTCTAAATGATATTCAACAGTGCCAGGAAGAAGCCTGGGTGATTGGCAGTGTGGTTGCATGTCCTGAAGGTAACTCCTTCTTTGGTTTTAGACATATAACCTTAAATATAACTAAGCCCTGTCTCATGAGTTTTTAGCCCACCTTTCATTCCAGCCATTGCTATGGCATCTGTCTTTACCCAGGTGTATCATGACAGCACCCACCCCAGTGATAGCACATGCCTCTTAATTTTCACCTTGAGACTCTTGACACCTCTGTGTAGCATTCCCATGTGCACAACAGAACCCTGCAGTATCACTTCCCAAAGGAATCTTCCTACATGTAAGCCCTTATGGCTCTGCTTTGTGGTTCAAAATTCAAGAACTAATGAGTGAATGCCCTGGCTAATACTGTTTGTTATTCAAGACTCTTACTAGAACTTGGTAGAGTGGCAGAAAATCCAGTAAAATAGTAATAATGATGTTAGAGCTTGTTAACCTTGCTTCTGTCGACCTTTCTTTCCTCTGTTGTATAAGTTTCACTTTTTGGCAGGTTCTCTTACTAGAAAGATAACATTCTTTGGCTCTTTTGACAACAAAAAGCCCTCTTGCTTTCATCATTCTATATCACATCTTAGAGTGACCTTGCTAGGCCACATACCTTCCACAAAGGCCAAGAAGTCATGGCATTATCCTGAAAGGTCTCACTAGGAAGATTTGGGGATTAGAAGCAGAACATTGGCAGGCAGTAATATATCCACCATATGCTCCAAAGTAGTGATGTGTTTAGAACTCCTAGTTGAAGTAGATGATTACACATGTTTACCTTCGGGAAGTTTTTGTAAATGCGTAATATTAAGTGTTACAAACCTGTTAAATGTTTTAGTCCTTGCATATCTTATTTTCAAAATAAATTAAAGTATTCTAAAGATTTTTCTTTCCTAGAGCTAGGGTTTTGGCTCAGCAGTAGAGCGCTTGCCTAGCACGTGTGAGGCCCTGGGTTCAATCCTCAGCACCACATAAAAATAAAGATATTTTTAAAATATTTTTTTCTTTCCATTATTCCTGTAACTACACAATTGTTCTTTACTTATTTTGGGGTGTATTTGTAATGAAGGTTCCCCTCGTGTGAAAGTCAAGAATCTGCTCGAAACCATGCAAATGAGCAAGTCAGTGTCAGTGAACGGCTCCTTGAAAAATCACTTCTCTGCCCAACCAAAAAAGGCAAGAGTGGCTGTCTTAATATCTGGAACAGGTAAGACATGGCTTCCTCTCCAATGTTGAGCTCTAGAGCTCTTCTCTTCCTCCCTGACCACCCAACCAACACAAAGAAACCTCTTTCAGATTGTAAGGCTACTATTAGCACAGTCTGGGAGAGAGGGAATTATTAAGGAGTGCTATCATTTCAGCTTCCTTAGTCTTCCCACTTGTGAATTTGGACAACTCCCTAAGCAAAAAGTAGAGGACGTGAGAAAGATGGTTAGAGAAAGACTAGAAAAGATAGAAAGGATTAAAAATTCCAACTTCTTTTTTGTATCATAGTTTTGTCATTGGAAAGTCTTAAAATATTAGTATTAAGAATAAGAAGTTTATGTTTGACCTTTGTGGATAAAGGGTCAAATAAGAGTATTATATTCTCAGATGGGTATAACATGATTATTTACCTCTCTTATAGTTAACATTATTATGAACATGCTTGTAAATATTATTTTGGTTTTTGTTTTGTTTTGTGTGTGTGTATGTGTGTAAGACATGTTTTCAGAGAACTTAACCATTCCCTATTCAGTGTAGAACATATCTTTTTTTTTTTTTTTTTTTTTTTAAGAAGAATTCACTTTGGTTTTTCCCTCCCTTTTCAGGATCGAACCTCCAAGCACTCATAGACAGTACTCAGGATCCAAATAGCTACGCACACATTGTTGTTGTTATCTCCAATAAAGCCGCAGTGGCTGGTTTAGATAAGGCAGAAAAAGCTGGTATCCCAACCAGAGTAAGTTCTTGGGAAAAGTACTAGTCCTGTGGGCTATTTTTGTTTGTTTGATTGATTTTGGGGGGTGCTGGGAAATTCAACCCACAGCCTTATGCATGTTAAGCATGATATCTACAGAGTTAAACTCTCACTCAACCACATAGGCTATACTTAAACCTCATAATCAGTTCTCACAGGACCCGTATCTCTGTGGTTTACATGGCCTTTAGATTTCTGCTTTTGGGTGGGTGCTGGGCTCCCCTTTCCACTTGATCCTGTGAATTGCTCAGTAATTCTCCATTGGGTATGTCCTCATAAGGAGGTGTAGTGTGGTAATGTAAAGGTTATGTTTTAGATTATTTTGGGTAACTGATTGGAAAAGTTGTATTTATCTTTTTCTATTACAGGTAATTAATCATAAATTATATAAAAATCGGATAGAATTTGACAATGCAATTGACAAAGTCCTTGAAGAGTTCTCCACAGACATAGTCTGTCTTGCAGGGTTCATGAGAATTCTCTCTGGCCCCTTTGTCAAAAAATGGGATGGTAAGCAAAAGTTGTTCAGTATTGATTGAGAAATGTAGTGCAAATGGACTCCAGAATAGTCAACTTAGCATGCAGTAGTGAAATACTGTGACATTTTACTTAACACAGGTCTTAATTTCCTTTGCTTTAGTCCAAAAGATGACCCAATGATGATTTATTAACCTGTTTTCTATCAATTTCTTAGGATTACTATAATAAATTACTCTTTATAATATAGTTTAGTTTTGTTCTAGATTACTGAAAGATAATATTTCATCTTCTAAATTAGTATTCAGAAGACCCTTTTTACTTGTTTTAGAAGGAAGAGAAAGTAATTTCCTGTATCCTAAAATAAAGAGGCATCCTCTCCTATGAGACACAGACCATTGCCAGAAGATGGCAAAAAAGATGTTGCCAAAAAGCACATACTATCTTGTGTCTTTGCCTTTTTTTACCCAAAGCTTTGACTGTATCCTGTTTTCCTTTTTTGTGTACATATTTGGGAAATAAATGAATTTTCTGTCCAAAGAGTTTGCTTTCTTAGATGAATATAGTTAGAACATTCGTGTCAGTACATTTAACGGGCAATTCCTTTGGTGATAATAGACACACAAAGCTAACTAATCCAGCATCTGACTGGTGGGCACACCACATAGCTACTAGAAGTCTTCCATCCAGCTTAGACCTTCCCTCCCCGCATCCCCACTAGCTCCCCATCACTGCAGATTCCTGTTCAGAGTTCCCCAGCATGCCTGTGACTATGCAAAGCCTGTGACTATTGCTAGGGCCTTCTTGGAAAAGAACTGTATTTCCCTTTGCCTTATTTCCATGTTACACACAGAAAACACCCTTCTTGGAAATCCAGCTCCTATTGACTTCTGGTTCTAGGCAAGAAAATATATATTCTTTTAGCAGAATACATAGGATTTTAAAATTCTGACCATTATGCTTTCTTAATTTCTAGGAAAAATGCTGAACATCCACCCTTCCTTGCTCCCTTCTTTTAAGGGTTCAAATGCTCATGAGCAAGCCCTGGAAGCTGGAGTCACAATTACTGGATGCACTGTACACTTTGTAGCTGTGAGTATGTGTTTTTTCTACCAAAGTGATAGGATTAGTGTTTAGCTATAAACTGTGCTGGCTAGAAAGTAAGGTTTAAAACTTTGATTTTTCTTTTCCAGGAAGATGTAGATGCTGGACAAATTATTTTACAAGAAGCTGTTCCTGTTAAAAGGGGTGACACTGTTGCAACTTTGTCTGAAAGAGTAAAATTAGCAGAACATAAAATATTTCCTGCAGCCCTCCAGCTGGTGGCCAGTGGAATTGTACAGCTTGGAGAAAATGGCAAGATCTGTTGGGTCAAAGAGGAATGAAGCCTCCTAATTTAGGAATGGAACCAGTTTTGAAAGAATTATGACTATTTGCTTGGTGCCTTTTATTCATGTATTTAACCTAATAGAAAAACTGCTAACAGAAAAAGACTTCACCGTTAACCTCATTCACCATTTTTTAATAGAGAATCATTAAAAACAAAATTTGTGCAGGATATCCTAGACATCTCCCATGATCTTTCCAGTTTTACCTGTTTAGAACATTGTGTTTATAATCAAACTAGTTATTAAGAATTCTCTTAATTTAATGGGCATGCTGGCATGCACTTATGATTCTAACAACTTGGGAGGCTGAGGCAGAAAGATTGCAAATTCAAAGCCAGTCTTAGCCACTTAGAAGACCCTGTCTCAAAAAGAACTGGATATGTAGCTCGGTGATAAAGCACCTCTGGGTTCATTACCAGTACCAAAAAATAAATAAATAAATAAAAATCCCCTTAACTCAGAGCCAAACAAGATACCAAACTTCTGTCTTTCTTATCCTCTTTTTCTTTTTCTCACTGGTATCACCTCTATTTTTTATAAGTTACATGTTCTGTGATCTTTGACTATATGCTTCAAAGCCATGCTGCTGCCTACATTGTCATTACATTTAGTCATGGAAGTATAAAGAGATTCCTGGAGCATCACCTGGGTACTATTCATGTGATTGATTGCCTGATGTGTGAAAGTACCCAACCTCCTTCTGACCAGGGTCAAGTGAATATATTGTGTGTGTATAATGATTAGAATCAAGATTTCTCTGGTTATCCTGGTCATAATTTATAATGTCAGGATTTCTGGATCGCTCGCATTTCTAAGGAATACTCTACTTGGGACTTTTAATATCATTAAACATTCCTCTAATTATTGACACATTTATGCTCTTATGAATCACCAGAGGATTAAAGGAAAAGTTCAGTTACTTCCAGATAAAAGTGTAAGACTTTAGTCACATCCTCTTTGTCTTTCCATTTCCTTATCAATTAAAGTTGGCAAATACCTATCATAGTCATTTTGATAACTAGCATGTGAAGTGCTAAGAACAGTGCTTGGCAGATGGGGAGGCACTCAGAGGTTAGCATTTATTTCATAGTTTCTCCCAATTATAAATTCAGTATTCAAAGAATACATCTTGAGCAGGGGAGGGCAGTCATATCCCATCTGGATGTGCATTTCTGGAAGGGAAAGGTTCAGGGCACTGTATTGGACACGTACAACAGCAAACAATTAACAGCCATTTTGTACAAAAAATAGTAAATTCTAGCATTAGAAGGTCAAGATAAGTGAAATAGAGTCCAAACATAATTAAGCACATATGTATAATGCCAAAAAGTATAAAGAAAGTTGAAAGATGTAAAGGAAAAAGTTATTGGGTAAAATCATACCATAATACAAGCAGAGGCTGATATCAGGATGGTAAATTTGAAAAGTTAATATAAACTTAAAATCTTAATGACATTTATGTCTTTCTTTTTTGGTACTAGGGGTTGAACCCAAGGACATTCAACCACTGGGTCACATCCACAGCTATTTTTCATTTTGAGACAGGGTCTTCCTAAGTTGCTGAGGCTGGCTTTGAACTTTCGATCCTCCTGCTGCAGCCTTTGGAACCACTATATTTTTCATACTAATCTCCACTATAAGAAACTTGTTCTCCATGTAAGGTAGCTGACTTCATATGTTGGGATAAGAAGAATCAAACTGTGTCTGAAATATGTGGTTGCCAGAAGCAAACAAACAAATTTGAATATAATGAGATTGAAAGAAAAAAGAATCAGTGTAAAGAGGCTCTTACTGTCCTGTTTGTGATAAATTGAGTATTATTGGAACACATTTCTGAGCAGCCATTAGTTTATAATAATGAGAGAAAAGGTAGTTTCAATTATAAATAGTTGTCAATGTGACAAATATGGGTGTTTATCTTTTATAGATGTCTCTTAGTTCTTTGTTTAGCCAGGAGTGAAACAGATCAGGCCACATCTTTTTTTAACAAGCAGATTTATTTTTCTTTTAACTTTTTGTGGTGCTGGATAGAATCCAGGACCTCCCACATGGCTAGGCACTTACATGCTCAACCACTGAGCTGTAGTCCCAGCCCCCAGATAAGCCCCTTGATCACACACTGTTTAGGTGGAAGGACACAGTGGAGTGGAGGGTGTCTGTTACTGCCCCACAAAGAAAAGATTCATGTTCCAAAGTGTTAAGGCAAATGCTCCAAAGAGAAACAGAATTTCTGAAAGATTTCATGATCTCTAAATGTTCCTTCTCAATTTTTTAAATTACTGTTAATTTACCATACAAACTTTTTAAAATTAATCAAGTAATGTACTATTATTGTAAAATTTAATAACTGGTACAGATGGTCCCTCTTTATTCCTTTTTACTAGTAATGAAAAGTAATGGGCTGGGGATGTGGCTCAAACAGGGCACTGGGTTTGATCCTCGGCACTACAAAAAAATGTTGTGTCCACCGAAAACTAAAAAACAAATATTTAATATCTCTCTCTCTCTCTCTCTCTCTCAAAAAAAAAAGTAATGATGAAAATTTTCTTGGCTGTTCTTACCCATGCTTTTATTTATTTTTTTCTTTATAAACTTTTAGATCAGTTTAAATGAGTTTTTGTTTTTGTTTTATTTCTGAGGTACTGGGAATTAAACCCAGAGGCATTTTATCATTGAGCTACATCCCAAACCCTTTTTCAATTTTTGAGACAAGGTCTCTAAATTGCTAAGGATCTTACCAAGTTACTAGGACTGTCTTGAACTTGCAATTCTCCAGCCTCTCAGGTTGCTGGGATTACAAGCATATACCACCTTGCCTGGATTAAATGCTTTTCATATACTTTGACTTTGTTTTCAGATTTATAACAGGTCTTTCTTCAAATGCATATATATTTTTAAATTTTTTATTAAAGTAGTACCCACATAAGTAAACACTCCAGGGCTGGCGTTGTGGCTCAGTGGTAGTGTGCTCGCCTAGCAAGCACGAGGCCCTGGGTTCGATCCTCAGCACCACATAAAAGCAAATAAAGGTATTGTGTCCAACTACAACTAAAAAATAAATATTTTAGACAAAAAAAAAAAACACTCCAATTTTCACAACATGAACACATCTGAGAACCAGCACTCAACTAAAAAAATATTGCCAGCATTCTAGAATCATCCTTCTTATCCCTTCTAGTCATCACTCTTACCCCACTTGCACCTCAGCAAAGAATACACTCCTCTGACTTCTAATTTGTTTTTCCTCATATTAAGTTTTATATAAACAGGACCCTACAAGGTGTACTTTTGTTGTTGTTTATATCTGGCTTTGGTTTTGTTGTTGTTTGTTTGTTTTTTGTAATTGTGGATGGACAGAATGCTTTTGTTTATTTTTATGCAATGCTAAGGATCTATCCCAGTGCCTCACATGGGCTAGGCAAGCGCTCTACCACTGAGCTACAACCCCAATTCATGTGGCTTTGTTTGCTTATTTATGTTGTTGCATATATTTGTAAATAATCATTCTGTATATGAATACAGCACAATTTATCCATCCTGTTGATACCAGTCTGGGTGTTTCCAGTCTAGAATTATTATTACTGTTGCTATGAACATCCTTATCCATGTGTATTTGGTTCATTTATATTCACATTTCTATTATATACATAGCTGGAAGTATAATTACCAGGATAGGGAATATTCATATGTTCAGCTTTAGCAAATACAGCCCAACCTTCTCCCAAAATCATTGGGCCAATTTACACTCCCACCACCAATGTGAGTTTAATTATTTAGATTAGTCTTGCCAGCATATGGTTTGGTTCTCCACCACCCATTTTAACCACTTTTATGAGTGGATACTGCTTTCACATTGTTGCAGTTACATTTCCCAGTTGGCTGTGAAACTAAGACCCTTTTGATGTATGTTTGACCTCTTTTCAGATCTAGGTCATCAAGACCAACTTTCTGAGAAGTAAACTTCTAAATTTACTGCATTTTTTATGCTATTGTAAATAAAATCACTTTAATTTCCTTTTCAGATTGTTTACTGCTAGCATATAGAAATATATTTTGACCTTATATTCTGCAACTTTTCTTTAGCCCTTAATAGTTTTCTTTATTAGTTCTTTAGGGGATTTTGTATATAGAGTAATATCTGCAAACATAGGTTTCTTTCTTATTTGCCTGCCTCCACTTTCTTTTTCTTGTTTAATTGCCCTGGTTAGATCTTCCCTTATAATGTTGACTAGAAGTGGAGAGCTCTAACATCCTTGTCTTTCTTGGCCATAGTGGAAAGGTTTTAGTCTTCCACCACTCAGTGGGCTTTTGTAGATATAATTCTTCTCAAATGTTTCCACTGGGCACAGTGGAGCACACCTGTAATTCCAGCAGCTCTGGAGACTGAGGCAGGAGGATTGCAAGTGCAAAGCCAGCCTTACTAGACCCTATCTCAAAATGAAAAATAAGAGGACTGGGGATGTGGCTCAGTGGTTAAGCGCCCCTGGGTTCAATCTCTGCTACCAAAAAAAAAAAAAAAATGTTCTTTAATTTTCTTAGCCCTCCTTCTCCCCCAAATAGGATTTTATCACCAGGCAAACCAAAGTAACTAGTATTTGTCCCACCAGCTCTGTGGACTAGAAGGGTGGAAAGGCTTCAGTTACAAAGAAGAAATTGTGTGGGGACATATTTGGTAAAGATAAAGAAATTAGTAATGTTTTATCAAAATATGTTGGCAGTGCAAATTGGTTTATCCTTTCTTGAGCATAGTTTCATGACGTGTTTATTCACAAAGCACAGTGGCCACCTTTCCATTACCGTACCCAGAAAAACAAGTCATCTTTCTCATAGTCTGCAGAGCATGGGAAATGTCATAATTTATTTCTCCACTTCCTATAATTTGTTCTTTTCCTTTCTCCTTTTTTTAAATTTTTTGTTATTATAGTGGTTCAAATGAAAATCTTGGAAACACCATCCCTACTCCAAAGATTTTCAGAGATAATCAAAATCCTGAAGTTGGTATGACTTGCTCTTTTATTTTTATTTGTATATTTATTTGTTTTGGTACTGGGGATTGAACCCCCCAGAGGCATTTAACCCCTGAGCCATATCCCTAGCCCTTTTTAATTATTTTTATTTTTTGACCGGGTCTCACTAAATTGCTCAGGCTGGCTTTGAACTTGCTATCCTTCTGCTTCAACC